ACGATTCTATCATCTATCCAGTTTCCGACTTTGATAAAGACAGATTTCACAGATATGTGATGTCGATTCTATCATTCAATCTGTATCTATCTCTTTTTAAAGATGCTTTTCCAGATATTTGATGACGAATCTATCATCTATTCAGTTTCTATCTTTGATAAAGACACATTTCACAAATATTTGATGCCGATTCTATCATATATTGAGTTTTTATTGTATGTGATGTCGATTCTTTCATTCAATCTGTTCCTATCTGTGATAAATATGCTTTTCCAGATATTTGTTGACGAATCTATCATCTATTCAGTTTCTATCAGTAATAAATTGTTTTTCCAGATATATGATGACGATTCTATCATCTTTTCAGTTTCTATAATTGATAAAGACAGATTTCACAAATATTCGATAGCGATTCTCTCATCTATTCAGTTTCTATCTTTGATAAAGACACATTAAAAGGATATTTCATTACGATCCTATAATCTGTTCAGTTTCTGTCTGTGATATAGATGGATTTCATCAGATATTTGATGACGATTCTAAAGTCTTTTCAGTTTCTGTCTGTGGAAAAGACACATTTCACAGAATTTGATGACTATTCTATCATCTATTTAGTTTCTTTCTGTAATAAAGAAATATTTCACGAATATTCAGATTAAGATGTTCACATAGATCCAGACTAGTTTCGTTGTTTTGAGTGCTTACTTACTTCCAGATAATGCATTATTTCAGAAAACGACAATGCTTACAATTTACACTAGTTGAAACATCTATCAAACTATTGTGAAAAACATCTTCGCCTCTGAAACATTCTACCAAAGTTTTTGTAAATTCTGAAAAAACATCCTTTGTCCTTTCACGAGAGGTTTGAACATCGTCATAATTTGAAAATTTTCCTTTTTCAGGGTTACAGTCATTAAGCATTACAACTATTTTGTTATGTTACATTTTTTGTATATAACGTAAATTCGATTCACAAAGTATGAATTGTTGCATCAACAGAGCGTAAAAAATAAATATTCGTAGACGGTTTTTAAAGTGGTAATAAAGAGTGATCTTAGATGTGTTATTGCTCATTGGGAAATAGGTATTATTGTGCTTTTCTGCTATAAAAGACCAAGAATCATAACGGAATTGAAGTGTTTTCCACACAAAACAAAACACAATCAGATCGCTCATACAACACATAGATCTGGTTGATCTGTAAGAAGTAGTGGTGGCAATCATTTAATTACTTTCCACATAGTAAACACCATTGAAACTACATACTGATGTTCTGTTATAGGAACACCTTTGCTATGTTATGTAGAGATTGAAAATTAGCGATACTTAACCAACATAGCGTAATAGGTGAGAGACAAAGGTTTACAGGTATCCCGCTAAGTGAGACTGTGTATGATAGAGAGCACATAACAGCATCGGTGTGTTAATAATAAAGATATATGGTATTTGGTATTTGGATGTACACATTAAAACGCTAAAGGGTACTAAAGGAAAAGAGATAAAATAATGCCATTCGGAGGAATTTGTTGTTTCCTCCTGAATCATTCGTACTTTAGATTTGTCTCAGAATGTAATGACGTAATTACTACACCATCAATATATGACATCAACGATATCGTAGCATTTTCATCAAAAATGGTTTGCAGAAATCGCATATCTTGATTTGTTATTTGAGTATCTTGATAAAATGTATCTAAATTAGAAAAGTTTGTTGTTTTAAATGGAATTTACGCTATTTTGCAACCAAATGACTAAATCATCTACCATTCTTACTAAAGCACATTTCGTCATCCGAATCACTGTCTACAACAGCGCATTTTGACGTCGTTATTTTGATGACGTTATCTATTAATAAATAGATAACGTCATCGCTGTCTGATGGTTTTACCGCCCTATCTGAAGCGGGGGTTATTGCTGGAGTTTAGACATTAAAACGCAGGCTATTTCGGTATATGTTAAGAAATTTTCTCTGAGATACATGTTCATGGTCTCCTCTCTTATATAGAAATCTGCACATTTCAGACTCATTTTTTCTTATAAGAACTCTCACAAGAAATGAACAATGAAACACTGAAAGTCTTTCTTATTGTATTGATTTTACGTCCTCCTTGAATTTTATGGCATAATATATCCACTCTGATTATGAACAAGTGTATTCTGGTAGCTGGTAATGCTATAACAGTTACAACAATTACTGAAAATTACCATTTTCCTCGATCCATATTTTTCGCTCACCAAACCATGAACTATTTTTCAACGAGTCAGTTAGTTTCAGATGTTAATATATGCTGATATTCTGAGACAGAGTAGAATTCATGAACAAGTTTCATATCTTAAAACAAAATCCTAAACAAACTATGTACAAGCATTATTGTCTTTTCTTTTACGGAACATTTCGTTCAGGTATGTAATGTCAATAGAAAATATGACCTTATAACACAACCAGTCGAAGATTAGCGTGTGACGTTTCGACGACTAAAAGGTCACATCGGGCAGGTGATCCGTACGTAGTGTACGAGATGGAAAGGAATCGATCACTTTTTTCGGTTGTACTATAATCCTTTTTCTTTTTACACTGTAATAGTTCAGTAAATAAGTGTTTCACAAGCAATTATGTCAAAACGAATTTATTTCTAACATTCGCGTTTCGTGAAACTGATACTAAAATGTTTTTATGTGCTTAGATGAAAATTCAATTGAAAGGGATGTTATTTTATAATGTTGATACCAAGCACAGTTTCCAAAACAACGTAATACTCAGTTTTCAAATGGAAATATTCTCTCAAATTTATTGTATATAATGTATACTTATACAATTCAGTTTGCCTAAAACACACTTGTTTCTTTTCTCGGACTTTTTCGTCTTAAACGAAAATGAAAAAAAAAGAAACATCTGTATGCTTGTTCATGAAACAACTTAGAACGAAAGATCTATATTAATTGATAAATTACCAGTGACATTCTGCCAACAATATTTAATACGCTGATGATGATAAAAATAAGAAAGTTCTCATATATCTTTCATGTATATTCATATTTTCCCTTGATTATTCCATATCACAGCTCGTAGTCACTGTTTTATCATGATCCTGTTTACCATGATATGCTGATTTTTTTCGTAATAACTACATTATCAGTTGCAGTGCCATATAACGTTACTGTGAAACATCTTAATTGTAAATAATTTTACATAATTCAAATTGTTTATTTATTAATGTAGATGTGTATAATTCATCATATCGGATTGTGAACAGCCTAAAGTACTAGTCTGTAAAGGATAATTTTTGTTAAAACCAAACAAGATATTCCTGGTCCAAAAATTATGAGCTGTCCGCTTGAAATAATGGATCAATTACTTCTTAAAAGCTTATCTCTTTTGTGTAATTTTAAACAGCATAACGACAGATTTTTTTGAAGTATTCACTGAAACATTTTGATTTGGGATCACCAAATTATTTGTAAACTGTGTCCTAGTAAACTACGGATAGGCCACGAGAGAAAGTCTTTAAAAAAAAAAGTAAATCATTTCCTTTTGTCTCATAAAACATTGATCACTTGCTGTCGCATTCATGAACTATTGATGTGTGAAAACTGATTGTGCGGTATGTTTTGTTCCGATAGTTACAATAAATATACGAATATTTGTAAGATCCCTTTACTGTTTCGTTTTAATGTAACAGCTCGTACATACCTAAAGAACAATAATACACATAATGCACCATTACACTATGTGTATCAAGTACGTTTAAATAACCCTATGGAATGTGTGCAGCTATGTCTGTAGTCATGACAGCACGCTTGTTTACTAGGTCACACATGTATACAGACATTACTTAACGGAAAGTAGCATGGCGTTAACAAGCCCTTTCGCCTCAGTATATTTTCATATTGATATATGAAAACTAAACACAGTCGAAATGACTTATCATACTCGTATGGTCTCTATTTTTATCCACTTCCAGCAACGTAACAAAAAGAAAATCCGAATGCAGGAAGTGAAGAAAATTATATTTCAACCAATCATAAGTTAGCTTGAAATCGGATACCACGCCAAGTCGGCAAATATAGGGACAAATTTTTGTAGTAAGTCAAATGCAGATGATCTAGAGATGTTGTTTTCTTCAGATTTTGATAATCGATTCTACAGCATATTTTGTCGATAAAAGCATTATTTTTTTCTGTATATACGTTTGATTAATAGAGAAAAAACGTGTTTAAACGTCTGTCCCCCTAAGTAATACTATTTCAAATCATCGATATATAGAGTTTGAAATTCAACATGCTTTAACATTTTTATTATCAAAGATTTTTCTTTTCTGTTTTCATGTTTACAGAGATGAAATGCAGATGAATAAAAGCCTAAATGCAATAATTTGTACAACAACGTTTTAACCATTAAAAATAATGGTAAACATTAGGGCGACAGCAAAAAAGTCGCCCCAAGTAGCGGGTCACCCTAAGTGAGGTATATATATGATTTCGTGTCCCCTTAAGTAGGAAACACGAGTATATATATATATATATATATATATATATATATATATATGTTTGATTGTACAAATGAAGATATTCAAGGAATAATGTTCACCAATTATTTCAAATTATTCAAATATTTTCTCAGTACCAAAATACTATAAAAAAATTAATCTTATGTTGTTCGTTACTAACAGACGTAACCATGATAGAATAAAGTCCAAGATATTGCCACAGTAAAACAGGAAACCACACGCATTAGCATACAACTACCACTTTTAATGCACAGGTATAAATGTATATAAATTTGTTGATGATACAGGAAGCTATGCTGTAGGGAAGTTACACGATCACAGTTTTTCAAAGGTCAGTGATTTGTACATGGAAGTTGCGTATTGAAAAAGAAAATCTGAGATACGAAATTTGGATTCAGATATTTCATTTCTTCCTCGTACACACAAAAAATCGATTTTTTTCTTGCATCAAATACGGATTTCGACCACAACTGACAATATCCTAAGATACTACTGACCGTTGGTGTCCATCACACTGTATTCTCCCATGATTGCACTGCGATCTACATAACCATCTCCATCATAATCCATCTCCTGAAACACCATTGTACTGAAGACTTGGTTGGTACCAACTTTTATATATTCAGCTTCACTTACTTTGTGGTCGTCTAGGAGAAGATGTTTCATATGTCAATATATGCAGAACATGTTGAAATATTTTGGTGAATTACGAGACATACCAAATATAAAAAACAAAGGAAATTACGTGATCTTTTACAATATAATTACATTAAGTTAATTTGGAATGCAAAATGGAATTTATAAATGCTTCTTAAAGTTGCACAAACGGATGGAGAAATGATATGATCGCTAATCGTTGAACATCATATTTTGATTAGATTTATTCATTGTGAGAGTTAGATTCTTTTAAAATTCGTAATGACGTAAAACCAAAAAAAGGATTAAATCTAATTGACTAGAGCACTTTCTTAGAAGGACATACGATCTGTTAGCATGTAAGATGTTTGATGTCACTGTTACTGATTTCATAGGTATATTCAATACGTGTTTGCTTAATAAAGTTTGCCACTTCAAGAGTATGCAGAATATATGTAATTTATTACTTTAATGCTGAAAGTGTCATAAATTATAATTATATTCTCACGTCATGGAAACTATACAATAAATCTATTTACGTGAAACTTTCTGAATATCTTAGTTTCCTTAGTATAACTTACTATTAGTATCAACTTGAAACCATGCAGCTTCGAATTCATCGTAATGCACAAACCCATCATGATCGTGATCAACAAATTGGAAAGAATTGTCTACAGAAGTTTGAATCTGTATATGCGTCATATTCACGGGCACCTGTCTGTAGATAGAAACATAAGAAATACACACGAGGTGACGATATATCTGAATAGACATGGAGAAAATAAATGTATTATGTGTTTAGAAATATCTATTAGTTCATTACTTGATTAAACTGCATGACTGTTTACTCCTTCTGGAACTCGCCAGAGACGCTAGGGGTCTCATTTTGAAAACTAAGGGCGACTGGGGAAAATCAAAATTAATGAAATAAGATGCAAACATTTTGTTGGGAATGTGATCTAGCCCAATGATTTAAACATTTCTCAAATTCTCATACACCGTCCTATCACAGTGTGGTACCGCACTCGCCTTTCACCTGGCCGTCCGGGGTTCGATTCCCGGAATGGATGTAAAAAAGTATGAAGTTACTAGCTCGAAACCCCTCGCGCGCTTCTATCTAAGCCAACAAGATTGATTAACATAAGTTGGGAAAACTTCGCAATTGTTGTAAAATAGATCAAACAATTAGTTACAACGTCCTTCAATTTGAACGAAATTGAACGTGGCATACAAGGAACTGAAAGTCCACCAGCAATGACTTGCAGTCTCGTACCAAACAATGGCAGTATATAATTCGCATTTGATACATATATGTAAAAGCAAACACATCCTTTTTTACCTGATAGCCAGGAATAGACAAAAACAACGATCGTATAGTCCGCGGGTCAGAAGCAGGAAATACATTTTAGAATAACCATATTTTCGATGTAGATAAGATATTAAAAAGTAGACCTATAAACGCGGACTACAGAATATACAAAACAATACATGTACTCACGCGAGGGATGAACCCAGTACAAGCAAAAAGGAAAAGGCACTAAATCCATACATAATGGCAACTGTGGAAAAAAATAAGTTTATACGATAAAAACATATCACCTTGTCGGACTTTTTCTGTAATCATTTTGCCGAAAGACTTTTATCATGTCCATTTATTCGTCTATACGATAATCATTGGAAATCAAAGAATTAATATATTTACCAGTATTACGTCTCACAAGGTATACAAGCAGTATGTTTTTGAGCTACTTATACATAAGTTCTTATCAATGTTTGTGCACACCTGTTTGTTTCTCTCTGCAGGTGCCAATTGAGTATAATCGGAGGATAGTATGTTGGTTTTTATACATATAATGGATATTAGATAATGATTTTTGGCTGTAACACGAGACGTTGTCTAAAAATGTCGTAAATATTGCAATATCAACGAAATTCAGCGATATCTTAGACCTGCACTATTTTGTTCGAAACAGCCCCTAACAATTTCTTAGCCAATCAAAACACTCCTTCAACCCCTTGACGACGGAATAGCTCCTGCTATTTTTCAATCAAGTTTTCGATAGATTCCGGTCAGGATGTAGGTCGAGGCTTTCGAAAAAGCTTGAAATGTTTCTTTGTGAGGATGATCTATTTAATTGTTTGCATTGATTCCTGGTGTAAATATGTGAAATGTCAAGGTGATTGTTCCCTAAAATAGATAAAACAATGGACATCGAAGCATTGGCAAGATATTATGATGAAAGACTCATCCAAAATTATTAGCGCGTTTCTTTTAAAAGGAGATCGGAATTGATGTATCATCATTCTCTATTTTACTATCGAATAAAGGTAGGGGACGATACCATGGGACATGCTTTAATTAAATAGTAATATTATACCGGACCTCCACCATGGCAAGCTCTTGAGACAGTCATAGAAATAACAACTAGAACACAAGATGTGAATTGAATCTGGCCGTTTATTGTAGTAAACGACATTTGTTATTTAGTTCAAAGTTTATCATTTAAAATTTACCGAACAAGTCTTAGATGGGGCTCATAATCTGCCACCACATCATACATAAATATACCCAATCATAGAAGGAAAATTTTGACAGCATACATAAACATAAGACAGTACAGCTCAAGTTAAGAAAAACAAATATCATACAAATTTATCAGATATGAAATTTAAAGAAGGAAAATTTAACAGCATATAACAAGTACATGACATACCTGGATCTATACTCCAGGGTTGGAAAATTAACATGAATGGTGAATTATTGGTACAAGTTCAGTAACTCAGAGACGTATATATATATATACATCTCTGAGTAATATAATCAACAACTCAAGCTTAGGTAATGACTTTATGAAATCAACAAAAATTACTGAGTGGATATGACGAGTCATGTACATAAGCATAAACTCTTGGAACAATTTTATGAAGGATACTTCCTAAATATATATTTGATGTAAAATTGAAACTAATGAAAAGATCTCATCAACCATGTCTGGAACAAATATAACAGGCCTTGAAAGAACAATAAACAAGAGATAAAAACTCAAAAAAGGAACGGAGGAAAGTAGAGGATGGTGGTGGGCTAAAATTGTATGAAAATGTTTTAGTTTTCCAATGATATAAATAGACTAATATAGATTAAATAAACTGGCCTTGACCGTACGAACCTTGTTCCGCCATATTCTGCTGTCAGCTTCTGAATAGAAAATGCTGCGTCATTTATATTTATAGCGGTCTAAAAATAGCCACCGAATTAGTGCGCCCGGGCGACAGTTAGACCACCTTGCTCCAACCTCAAATTACCTCCTTCCGCTAATAATAGAATCCTTACATATAAACACAATCAGCCTGTATAAATAACATTAAAACTTGTTTTAATTTGCATTTATAACTGATCTCTGGATTAATATCACCTATTGTTATACCCTGTAGATTCAGTTCCTATATATTTATATAGAGAAAGAAATGTCAAAAGTTTAACTGGTTTTTTCCTCCGGTCCAAATGGACTGTTAAAATCGACTGTTGACCGCCTTACGGAAACATACGAGTACGCCCGAGTGATGACGATATTTTGTTTACATTAGAGTTATCTTCTCTTATCGTCTGCACAACAAAATGGCAACCAGTAGCCCTAGTGACGCAGACAGATACAGTGTTGTAGTACTTTTACGTCATCTTTGTGAAGGATATAACAAAACAGTCATTGACTGGGGTTTCGGAAAACAGATCATCTGTTGGACCCTCAGCAAACTGTTGCCCTCGGCCTTCGGCCGAACAGTTTGCCTTCGGGTTCAACAGATCATCTGTTGCCCTCAACCCAAGTTAATAACTATATACTGTAACGACTTGGTACGGAATATCGTCTTTATCGACATTCTGACAGAATCGTCAAAATTACTTGAAGTGGAGAAAAGTATATCGAAATATGACAAAGATTATCACCTTTGTACTCTCAATTCCTTATTTCCTTAATTCTTTCGTTGTGATAAATTTCTCTAATGGCTAATGCCTATCATCTGCCTCACCCAGAAAAAGCCGTTAGCTATGGGCTAGTGTCAGAAATCATTATTATAACGAGGATTACATCATGAATATTATGAAAAGTTTGTTTGTTTGCATCGGCCAGTATTATAACGTCTTACCGAGCAGTTAATTGTTACCATATCATTCAAGATCGGCAAAAGTTTTTAACCACTTGGCCATATGTTTAAATATCAAAGAGTAGATAAGAAACAGATGACAATTTGATTAATACTTCATTGCTGTTGTGTGTGTTTGTGACTTACAAATTGTTAAGACAGGTCTTTAATATGTTTCTCTCAATCTCAGTGAATACTTGGTAAGTATGTATACATCGGGAGTGTTATCTTTTTGTTTTTCACAGAATGAATGAATAGATACTTAATTTATAAAAGCCAAGGTTAATATTGATCTGCATTTAACGTAACGTACAGTCACAGAAGTAAAAAATAGTCTACAGTTCACAGCGCAAATTGTGTCATGTACAAAAAGGATATCCTAAAACGTTGTCTGTTTTGATGATATGATCCAGAACTTATATATTTTCAAAATGTGATTTGTTATTATTTTCACAATACGACATATAAAAGTTATGTATTCAATGACTAGTTTAAGTAGTCCTGATAAATAATTGTATCTTTGGCTTCGTTTTAATTGTAACTCCAACGAGAGGCCCCCAGAGGGTAACGTTTATTGCAAAAAAAAAACGTAAAATCCAATTTGATATTGACGCCTGTTACTTCAAAATCGATGCACGTGTATGATTAGACACAAATTTGGACAATGGAATTAGTGATTTGTTGATTGTATTCGTTTCTATGGAGACCAAGCTTAGGTAGTCCATATTTTGCTTTGCTAATTTAAACCTATATCTGAAAGCGACAAGCATAGATGTTTTTTACAGTCAAGCCAGAAGAAATCAATTTCAAGATATTATTATTATTAATAATGATATATTCATAATATTCATTTGAGTTTCCCTGTAAATCT